TCGGGTGAGCCTCATTGGAAAGGGAGTATGTGCACCCACTCTTCAAACATTTGTTAAGCGTCTGCGATGCCCGCCTCAGTGCTGTGCTCGACACACGCAGCGGAAACAGGCGTGAGAAAAGCAGAGCGCCCTTGGGTGGAGGAGAGAGAAGCCACACAGGCCAGCCCTGAGCTCTCCCCCTCTCGTGCACGCCCTGCCAGCTGATGGGGAGCCTCTTTCTCCTCCACGTGCCCCTGCCTCGGCCTCACCACCTGTGTTCCCAGGTGCCTGGGCACCACACGGACCCCCGTGAGTGGGGCGTGGGGGCTGTGCATTCCCCACTGCTCTGAGTGCAGACTCGTTTCCAGATGGCCAGTGAGTTTATAAATAGTGGTCTGCAAAAGACAGTTTCATCCCTGTGATTTAAAAATAAGAAGAATAGGCCCTGGCTGGCGTAGCTCAGTGGATTGAGCGCGGGCTGCGAACCAAAGCATCGCAGGTTCGATTCCCAGTCAAGACACATGCCTGGGTTGCTGACCATGACCCCCAGCAACCGCACATTGATGTTTCTCTCTCTCTCTCTTTCCCCCTCCCTCCCCTCTCTAAAAATAAATAAATAAATAGATAGATAAATCTTTAAAAAATAAGAAGAATAAAACGGGGGACATAGGTGCATTTTGTCAGCCCCCCTCCCCCATAGCAGAAAAGTCACAAACCCTGCAGAAGGTGACGGTGGCACAAGAGGCAGGGCAGCGGCTTCTGCAGGCAGTGAGAAGCCGGACAGGCCTCAGCCCGGCAGCCGCGCAGCAGCGGGCGCGGCGTGTGCTGGGTGTCCCTCACTTAGAGATGCAAATAATGGTGCTTTCTATCTGTGCTAACAAGGAGAGTCTGAAGTTCCAGTTTCCCTGATGATGCACTGCATTTGGCTTTATTTAAAAATGAATAACTCATATTATTTTATATTAAAAAAAGAAGTATGTAGCTGAGACATATCTTGAAAGGTCTTTTCACTACCAGACACCCCAAATTACTAGAAAAAAAATATATATGTACACATAACAAGCAACTCCCAGGAAAACCAGAGGGAAGCTTCCACCTGAGTGATAAACTAGCATTTAACATGTAGCTGCGCTCAGCAGTCGCTAACCTCGGTTCTTTGAAGGGCCGGCTCTTAGGAGTCCCTGGTGAGCCAGAAAACGAGCTCTCAGCTGGGACAGGTAGGAACATGAGCCACGGACCCTGCACGTGCTCCATCTTCAGGGAACGGATAAGCAGGAAAAGCGAGTTCCCTGCAAAAACTGATGGCAAAGAACCGTGTCTGATCCAGCATAATACCAGGTGTGCGCTCTCCTGCGTTTGTAGTTCCCGTGTACCCTACCTGTGTGGTCTAGGAACCCTCCGAGCCAAGGCACAGCACAGCAGTCCTGGGTTGGCAGTGCCTGGGGCTGCTGGACAAAGCCAAGCTCCAGAGAGCGGGTCCCCACAGCCCTGTTCTCACAGATAAACAACATGAACGTGCAAAAAGCTAATAGTCACATCCCCTCCAAATTAAACAACTGTGAGCTGACTCCTTTTTTCTGGGAAAAGAACATTGCATTCACGGCTGTTGATGTTGCCTTCAATTTCCTGGGGGAAACAAGAAGGTACTGACTGATCTGTAATCTAGTTGGCAAGGACACCATGAGGCCCCTGGGTGCTCAGGAGAAAACGGAACCCAGGTAGGGCTGCTCTTCTGTTCAACTGCAAACTGTTCTGTTCAACTGCATACTGTTCTGGGGGGTTCAGAACCCAGCGGGCATCACTGATTTCCTTGAAAGGCCAAGAGAGTGGATTTAGAGCAGCCGCCGGGAAGGAACTGCAATGACTGGAAGAAGTTAGCTTAGGGCAGGAATTTATAGACTGGCAGAAACGTGATTGTAACCAAGTGTCTTTAGAGTAAATCATTTGAATAAACACAGGCAAAATTGGTATCTAATTTTAATTGCTATTTAAGTGCACTCAGTGCTGGCAACAGCTGGGTGTTACACTTCATGTTGTCACTACGTCTCAGCCTCACACAAGGCAGAAGCCAGAGTCACAGTGTTTCTCACAGGCAGGAAGCCAGACAGGACAAGGCCGGGCAGTGAGTCACATCCCCGGTTGCGGTGGTGAGGCCACACCGGGGAATTGTGGGCATTGGGTCCGTGAAGATTCACTGAGCTTGCTCTGCAAAGATGCCACACATGAACGTGATGCAGGCAGCAGGGACCGAGGGGAAAGGCTGGGGGGCAGACCCAGAGGTCAGGGACAGCAGGAGCAGACCCCAATCATTCTGACCAAGGGGCAGGTGGGGCCTGGGGCGTCCCAGGATTTGGGAAAGGCAATGGGGCCCTCAGCAAACACAGGTGCCCCTCGAGGGAGCAGGGCTGTGCCTCTCACTCGGTGACGCAACGGAGACGCTGGTGAAGACACCAGCAGTTTGGCGGTGGGACCAAGGTGCTACTCAAACATTTCTTTACTTTTTATTAAAAACTCCCTATCTTTGTAAATAAAGACTTGAATAAAATATTTTTAATTCTATTAATGAAGAAATGCACAGCTACACTATTTTTTTAAATCTCCTGCTAAAGACTCAGGGGGCAGTGTCTGGCACGCTCACATCAAGCACCGTCTTCCCCACTCTGTCTTTCTCCGCGTTCTGTCTCTGAAATGCCTAGGCAGGGCCTAGCATCCTTCTACGACACTGAGGTGCCAGGGGCCGCAGGAAACGCCCCCATAACTTACTGTCTCACCTCCGAGTCTCCAGTCCAGCTGAAGGAAGCGAAAGCACACTGGAAACGGGTTTACTCAGACGTCAGAAACAGCTGCCGGGCAGTGCTCCACTAGAACGCGCCCCGTGGAAGGTCTCCCGTGGCCACGGGGCCTCCGAGTGGGGGATCCCGCTGCCGGACACGCCGGGTAATCTCTGCTGCGTGGGGCTGAAAACAGTGGCACAAACCGCTGCCTGCTGGCTGCGTTTCAGCACAGAGCTCACCGGGGCCCACGAGTGAAGTCCAGAGTATGTTAAAAACGACGATCTGTTACTTACACATGAAATCACCTTTCAAGAACTACATACTAAAATATGCAGAATATATTAAAAAGGGGAAAGGGGGTCAAATACATGGTGAAAGAAGGAGGTGGTTTGACTTTGTGTGGGAAGCACAATATTGTATACAAATTATGTCCTACAGAATTGTGTGCTGGAAACCTATATAATTTTATTAACCAATGTCACCCCAATAAACTCCACAGAATTTAAAAAATAAAACTTAAATTTAAAAATAAAACAGTTAAAGAAAGTTGACTTTTATACATCTACATGCAAAAATAAAATTAAAAGCTCACTAGGAAGCATGGACACGGGGCAACAATACATGAAGTAAACAGGGTGCGCTGCACACAGTAGGCTTGTTCCTGACACCACCACCAATGACAGTAACCAACTCCCCCCGCCTCATCGTCTCATTCACGGGAGGAAGTGCACTTTGTGTTTTAGCCACACAAAAGCACCGTGTTACATCCTCTCGGTTTTGCACATTTGAATGTGCCACCTTGGACTTGGTTTAGCTGAGACAGAAACGGACCGAAAGTGCTCAGGAGGCAACAGATCCCAGTCCATCAAAACCAAAGGGGCGGGCTGGCAAGACAGGGGACTCACTCGGTGACCCTGGCGGCTGCCCAGACCAGCGTCCCTGACCCGGCCTCGCCCCTCTGTGAACCGAGGATGACATCGCTCTGACCCACGAACTGTACTCGGCCTGCCCTTTTTCCGGGGACGCTGAACATGCTCAGATGTCGCCACGCCATCTCCGCCGGGCTCTGGAATTCCTCCAGGACCCACTTGTTCCAACCCCGTCTTACTACTCTTCGCTCCCCTGTGGTGTTCCCCAGCCCACGTGCACGCCCCATCTTCATGCCACAGGAAGACACTCATGTTTCGTTCTGGTAATCGGGCCCTCTAACAGGGCGTCCCTTCCAGAATCTTCCTGCCTGCTCCTTGTACCCACACCACGAGAAACAGGAAACATTATTGCTGAATCTCAGGCACAAAGGCCTGGAGAGACACTCACAGGTCCTGGGGGCAGGGGGCAGGGGTGCTGGACAACCAGAAACCCGTGGAAATGAGGGCGCCAGGGGACAACCTGCCTCCTTCCCAAGGAACCCAACGCTCGCCCTCCACTTCCTGCATCATCGTCTCACGGGCTCCAGACTTTATGAAGTTTGCTGACCTTTTCCAGTCCCAAACTCAGGGACCTCAAACCCTGAAATACAAGTGAAGGCAATCTACCTCATTAGGCCCCTAAATACTTTAAGGAACACTCCACCAACGACACTCTCATCTTTTTCACTGCGTTATTCTGGCATTTCTCACCCCCCACCGCTCTGTCTCACTCACACTCACACGCACACAGCTAGACGCCACGCAGGGAAAGGGCGTTAACAGTCTCATCACACCCTGCACTCATTAGCCCTCGTGGGAAACACCGAGTGCAGTGCAGACCTGAATGGGTATGGGAAGAAACTGGAGAGCAGTGGGGAGTTCAGAACACTCACCAGCCCCCTGAGGACCAGTGAAAGCAACCGGAAAAGAGACCTCCTTAGATCTGCCAGCTGTTACAAGTCCTTACTGATCTTAATAAATTGACAGACTGATTTGAACAGTTCTCAGTAACTCCACAGCAAGAGTTTGCAGTGACAGCCTACTTACAGTATTCAGTTCTCTGCCTGTTCTAAAAGGGAGACTTTACTTTAAACATTTTCTAAAACTAGAAAAAGGAATTATTTGCGGGGAAAACTTTGACTATTGCATTGGAGATTTTGTGGAGCTACTGCTTCCGGTCACAGGGCACCTCGGATGGGCTGAAGCTGTCAGATAAACCTTTTTATCAGCAGTGCATGGAGTCCCCAGGACTACTTTCCATATTCAACAAAGCCTCTCTTTGCATAGATGCAGGCATAAAAGCAGGACATTCATTCAGAAACCAGAGTGCCCTCAAAGGTCATCACAGAGGCAGTTAAGTTCTTTCATGCCAGGAAAAACAAAATGCTGGGTGCCTCATGAAATTTCAGAACCTGATTGCAAAAGGATCCTACAAAGAGGAAATAAAATGTAGCAAGGTGGACCGCTCTACATGTGTTTGTAAGTATGAGATTCTCTGTGGTATAAACGAATAATGGAATTTTACCTGAACGGCGGGGCTGCTAGAAATGTGAGCAGGTTTCTTCTAAGGAAAATAAACTAGAAAACCCAGATGTTGGTCAGGCGGAGACTTCCTAGAGCTAAAAAGAAAAAAAAAACGAGAAAACAAATGTATAGGCACACATATATAGATGGAGTTGTAAATGGGGCACAGCTTTAGAGTGGAGAATGCATGGTATTTCATTCTACAAAGTTTGTGTGTGTGTGTGTGTTCAGATAAGTGTGTGTGTGTGTGTGTGTGTGTGTTCAGGTAAAGGTAGGAAGTCAGACTTGACGGTTTCGAAAAACATGCGTTTACCAAATACTCAGTTCCATTATTCAATTAATTGTACTGATCTCAGGTTGTAAGGTTTGTGTGAGGCATTGTTAATCTAGATTTTACAGAATTTCTTCAGTCCTTCATGTCACGCCTAGGCACGACTACATGCAAATCACTTGCTTTTTTGAAAGGCAAGAATTTTTTGTGCTGTGGCAAATGAAACTTCACAAAAACGTAAATTGCTCCAGGTTTTTGTACATTTTATGTGACACGCTACATCACAATATAAAGAAACACACCTAAATACAGATACTCTATATTAAACAGAAAGGATTAATCAGTTGTCTACCAGGACAGTAAAAAATTTAAAATACGTGAAAAGGCTCAATTTTAGAAAATTCATTTATCTTTTCATATTGCTTTGAGAAAGTTTTCATTTAAATGCTAGAGGAAACTTGAATATATTTTCTGACATGATACATATTCAGCTCAGTTCATCACTGATGCATTTATAACCACTCTAGGAATTAGATTCTATAGATGAAATGCATGCTTTATTTAAAATAATCAGGAGAAAACACTGACAAATAAATCATTATGGAGACCTAAACTGGTTATAAATACACTTAAATTATAAAAGTGCACACTAGTTTTACCAAGTTAATGTTGAAAAATAAAAATGATAGAATTAATGCATAGTGTTAACATTAAATAAGTGAAAAATATTTAAATAATAAGCAATGAGAATACAAATTTAAAAGATATAAAAATTTTTATATCATCAATCCATAAAAGTAATATATTAATTCTAGATAAGAAATTAACAAATCAAAAATAGGAATAACCATAATTCAATCCTTACAAAGTGAATAAACTATTTACTTAAAATGTAAGGCGGGGTATTTATAGAAATCTCTGACAAATATGCATTCTCCAGGAAGCACACCATAAAATTTTTGTTTTTGTTTTTTTTATCACTTTATTTTTAGGTCAGTGGAATTTTTCCACATCTCATACCACGAACATGAGAAAAAATGATTATTGATGATTGAAGCCTGGTAAGTTTCTCCAATTTAAATCAAGTCTATGTCGTATTAGTTCAGGTCACCCTTTGACAGGGAGCTCTCTTTCTGCCAAAGTAGAGTTGTAGTTTTATGGAATATTTTAGGATAACTTGTTTTTACTAGTAAACGACCACATGTCCTCTAATTCCAAGACTATAATTTAACTAAAGATTATCTTAATTTCAGTTAACTATAAATGAAATAAATTTGAATTTATCAATGGAATATTCTAATCAAATTCTAATCCTGAAGAACTATGCTGTAAAAAGAATTTAGAATTTACTCTTCCTGGAATTACCACAAGTTCTTAAAAGTTCTCAGTTTTAAGTAGCGAAGTATTTCAGTCTGCCCTCTGCATTTCGGTACTATTGACCAGATGTACTACTTCATGATAAATATTGTTGAATGTAGGACTGTATACCTTTCTTTCTAAACTGCTAGTTATTTTGAAAAGTCTCTGTCCTCGGACTATGAATTACATTTTCTTCATTTTTTTCAGATAAAATTCCAAAGCCTACCTCTTCTCTTCTCAGATTAGAGGTATGTGATTTTAATTTCTATTCCTTCATTTGCTTTCCAAAATCAGTTTGAAATAGTTCATTGTTTTCTCTGTCCATAGTTAGTCTTTTGTTCTTCACGTGTAAGCCTGGTATATCCCTTTACCGTACTCCAGCAGTGCCCTGGGTGGAAGAGGTAATACACGCAGGGCGGCCAGTGTGTGTTATTGCCAGAAGCCGGGTTAACAGTCGTGAACTGACCTTGTGTCACGTGGAAGGCGTCGGGAGAACACGTGGCTCTGTGGCGCCTGAGCGAAGGGCGCATGCGTAGGAGAGCGAGCCCGGGAGTGATCAGAGAGGGAGTGCCGGCAGGCACCTGGACACCGAGTCCCAGAAGCCGGAGAAGATGGGCGGGGCCCCGGGCACCTGGCGGGACACGGAGCAGAGCTCCAGCCTCTAAGAGGCGTCCAACAAGGCCCATTTCTCAGTGGACTAGAAAACCAGACAACTTCGCAAAACAAGACTGCCTTGTGGTCTCTCTATTCCAAGCCTGATACATCTTGCACATAGTTCTGCCACTAATTTTTTTTAAGATTTTTTATTTATTTATTCTTAGGGAAGGGAGGGAGATAGAGAGAGAAACATCAATGTGCGGTTGCTGGGGGTCATGGCCTGCAACCCAGGCATGTACACTGACTGGGAATTGAACCTGCGACACTTTGGTTCACAGCCCACGCTCAATCCACTGAGCTGCGCCAGCTAGGGCTTGCCACTAATTTTTTTAAACTGAATCACTGAAGCTCTTCTGTCACTATATTCTATTGGTATTCCATAATTTGACAAGTCTGTGAACATCTGACCTAGAATGTTAGACAACATATAAATAACTACATATATATATGTATGTGTGTATATATATACACACACACATATATATGTGTGTATATATATGTATGGTTGTCAAGTAGCATTTGACTACAACACTTAGGGAACAGATAGTCTAGTAAGAGTAGGTAAGTCAGACACATAAATAATATGAGTTTTGCATATTGCATGGTTTATATTACACCTCTTTTCCAATGTCACTCTGCCGATGAGCTGCTTGGGCCAGAGAACCTCCTTCTGAGCCGGTTGCACAGCCAAGCACAGGGCGCCTGCTGGTCCACACCGAGCTTTGCTGGAGCTCAGGACGGTGGCCCTCCCCTGGGTGAAGCCCCACCCGGGGGCCCACGGCTTGGCAAGGGGAGTGTGGGTGAATCCCAGCACCTTCTCTCCTGCAGACCAGGCGTCTCCGTAGAGGGGACACCCTGTGTAATCGTATGTAAGAGGGCGGGGCTGGCTGGGCTGTCGGCTCCTGCCTTTGCCCTCTAGCATGCTGAGCTCTTCTGAGCAAACAGGCCCTTCTTGGGGGCTCCATCCCTCAGTATGATACGTGCACCCCACAGTGGCAGAACCCCTGTAGCCAACCCAGCTAATTCTAAAGTTCAAACTTCAGTGACTAACATGAACGACAGAAACACAGGAACACAGTGACAAAAATGAAAATAAGGATGGCAGGGAGGAGGCTGGCAGGCGGAAGAACGAGGAAGCTAAACGGGGAGAGGGTACCAGGGCCGAGCTGAAATTTAGAAAGAGGAAGGAGTGCGGTCTTGTGAAGTGTGGTTCCTGTCCATACAAAAAGCTTAGGAAATGTCTCCTGGGTGACAGAGTTCACAAAGCTGAATGAACAACAGAGTAACTGCATCGGAAAGTTCTGCATGTGCTTTTCTAACTTTGACGGTTCCACTTTGGAGAAAAGGAAATTGAGAATCAGCGAGGTTTAATTACCGTGCCCGAGATCACAAAACTAAGAGCCTGAGCTCGGGCCCATGTGTGCTTGGCTGCAAAGCCCAGAGGTATTGTAATCCGCTCCGTCACCTCTCAGGGGCTGCAGGGACCCCCTGAACCCTCGTCCATCCGGGAATCGCCTTTGCTGCGCTCCTGACCCCAGTGGGTGTTGCACACGAGGACTGTGCAGCCTTCGCTAAACAACTGCATTCAAGTTACACGAGAAAATACGGTGACTTGGCAAGCAGACCTGGATTTCAGTTCCAGAAACCACCAATGTGCTCACGTAGCTCTAGCAGATCAGCGTGGAGACAATGAGACATAAAACCCATCGTTACAGGTCGAAGGAGGTAGGGGAGAAGTCGAGGCCCAGGGGAAGACGGGGATGACTAGTTACACTGACAGAAGAGACATGAAAAAAGGAAGTTCTTGACCGTCCCCTGACTTAGAAGATAAGCAGAGAGCCGTTGGGTAACATGTGACTGGCAGAGGATCACAAAGATGAGGAATCTTAAACGGTGAACTGCAGCCGCGTAGCTCGGGGCCCAGGCACACTCACGATCAGCTGTGGACAGCCAGTCAACGGCTGGGTCTTCTTAGTCCCGACGGCTGCCCTGTCAATCATCTCCATCATCTGCGTGTTTCCAGCAAAGGGCTCTCCTTTCATCCCACTGTTGTTTAAAGACCTCGATGCATTTTACCACCCACAGGATAGAGCCCGACATTGAAGGCCATCCAGAACCTCACCACACACACAAACACATCTTTGACATAAACTCTCCCTTTTGCTTAAGCTGGTTTAAACCTGTATTTGCAATCACAAGAATCCTAATTTTATGCCTTCCCGCAGGTATATTTAACGACCTTGCCCCTTGGTCCCCCTTGCCGCAGAGGCCCTCACAGAAAACGAAGTCCATGCACCCACAGTGTCCATAAGTCTTATCCCCAAACCTGCAGCGATGCTTAGAGCGGCACCCATGACACCCTCACCCTCTCCGGTTACAAGGAAACAGGGACCCTTCCTGTGCGGCCACCTGTCCCGTGTCCTGGCCCCACATTCTGAACTCCAGGTCCAGCTTATTTCTCAGGGACCTGACATTCTAAGATTTTCCCTCTCTTCGACGTCTTCGATCTCTGTCCATGGCCACCACCTGCCGAGCTCGGGAGTGTCCCCTGCGCTGCAGGCTTTAGGAACAGGGACTCCTGGACTCCTGCAGTCACCTCCGAACGGGTCCCCCTACTTGCACACGCCAATCCCCTCTCCTCACCGCACCAGTTCAGACGTCACCATGTCTAGTCCACGTTTTCAAACCTCGGACACAACCCCAGCTCCTAACTACGACACGGGCGGTGTGCGCGCCCTGACGTGCCCCCTCTGGCCCCTCCTCACCACTCTCTCTCGCCCCACTTCCTGGCCGCAGCGAACACGCAGAACACGACTCCTGGGCCGATGCCCGCGCCGGCCTGTTCCCTGAGCTGTCTCCCTGCTGCGCTCTAGACTCCCCTGGGGACTGCGTTCTTGTCATTTCCTCAACGGGACAGGGCTTGCTGCCTCCCTGGTTCCGTCCGGGCCGCCCCCGCCCCTGCACTCAGCGGTTACGTTACTGGGGTGCCTTCTCTCATCACCCCAAGTCTGGCTCGGTTCTCTTGCTGTGTGTGTGTGTGTGTGTGTGTGTGTGCGCTCACGGGCCCCTCCACTTCCTGCGGCACAGCCCCCCTCGCGTGAATCACCACTGCTTCTTACTGAAAACGGGAAGAACTGGCAGCCAGGGCCTGCCATTTAACAAGCGTTCAACAGATGTTCCAACACATCAGTAAAGACCGATACTAAAAACTTACTGTTCGTCCTTAATAACTCATGGTATCTAAGTGTGAATATGTGTTTAGCAAAATATTTTTAGCTCTCATTATCGGGTGCGGATTGAATTATTCTTAACAAATTTGTAAGTCATTCTCTCAAAGTTCTGAGTTAAAAATGAGCCTCGTTGCTACATAAAGCCTGGGCTGAGTACCTCTACCTGAATGTTCAAGGCAGAGTCACAGGGCCCCGAACGGGGTAAACAGGTAGGCGGCACCCTCAGAGAATTCACCGTTAAAAGGCTTGTTGTTCATTTGGCTTTGTACTATTGTGTTCGGCTAATCACAAAGAGGCACATTCTTCTTTGATACACTGAGCAATCTTTCTAAAAACAAGAATTACTCAAAAAGAGAAATCTTGGGAGTTGACAAGTTCATTGTCAGGGCCTACATGGAAAGACCTTTTGCAGAGAGCTGTATTTTTTTAAATGTCACCACTTGACGAACAGGTCGGGCAGATGGGTTCTAAAGGCACAACTCTGAGCACCTGCACCGCCATGAATATGTATGAGGCGAGGTCTCCACCCCCACACTGCCGATTGTACTTCGTCGCCTTCAAGGTTTAGAACTCTGCGTGCTCCGCAGAGATTGGCTCTAGCCTCTAATTATTTTAAATCACTACGTTACACTAAGTGCCTGCTGTATTTCTTCAGAAAAATGAGCGGGCGGACCTGCTGGATCTGCAAGGTGTGCAGAGAGGCATCCGAGCGGCGCCCCGCGCAGTAAGTAGCACCGCGAGGCCGGCACTGCGCCCTCCGCCGCAGGGCCAACGGGAGCCTGCGTACTGCGGCGGAACCGGCCTGCGCTTCGCTCAGAAACTAACATGTGCATCCACACATGAGTGCCCCACCCCCGCCAAGAGCAACCCTTTATGACACTGAGGTTTCGTTTTCATTATTCATGGTTTACACTTGAGAACTCAGCAAGCTCGGTGGTTTTAGAGTCTAGTATAAATAAACATCCGTAGGGTTATAGTTTAAAAGTTTTATATCGTCTATCTTCAAACGAGACTCTTTGACCCAAAATCCCGGTCCAAACCCACCATCTGCAAGGTGGCAGAAATCGTCACCCCCGGTTGGGAGAGGTGAGACAGGGTGGAGGGGGGTGAAACCCAGTGCTCACCGAGCTCCCAAGTCTGTCTGACACTGGGGCCATTGGGGGGACAGTGACTGGGTCAGAACGGCAAGCGTGATGCCTGAGAAGGGTAACAAGCCACCGGGTCGGATCTGCTCAGCTCAGAAAAGCCCTGGGTGGGGGTCCCTGCTGGGGTGACTGTGAGTGTCTACCCCAGCCCGCATGCAGACCTCAGTGGTTTTAGTTCTGACCACGCCTCCCTGCCCAGGTCTGAGCGCGCCCTGAAGTAGCCGGATGCCCCAAAGCGCTCGCAAGCCACCGCCTGTGGGCAGGTGAGCTTCGAAGCTCAGCATGTTCGACCACCAGGTGTGGCTGCCGCACCAACAGGCGCAGTCAGGGGGGAAAAGGGGACAGCTGGCTGGGGGGCAGCCCCCTCCCCTCCTGCTGAGGACTCCTGCGGAGCGTCCCTGGCAGCGCTCCCACGGCCCCCAGCAGCCGGCCACGTGGGGCACCAGGGGAAGGGAAGACGCAGGAGCGAGGGTTCACACTCACGGCGCACGGCCGGGTCACGGTCATTGGACCGATGCTTCACGTTCAGGACCTAGTTTCATTTTCATGACATCTTTCTGATGTAGGTACTGCTATCCCCACTTTGCAGACGATGAAACTGAGGCTTGGAGATACTCAGCGAGACCCAGCAGTTAAGCACGGCCAGGACTGCCAGATCCAGACACCCCACTCCTCTTCCCATCACAACACAGAGAACGTCCCCCTGTCTGCTTGCTTCCTGCTGCCCCCCAAAGCGGAGAACTCCTATTTAAAAATCGGGGTGGGAGAAGGGGCAAAGGAGTTTAGGACAATTCCTGTTAGGGCACCTGGACGGCCACGGGAAAATGTACAACTTGTGAAATACTAAGAAATAATTACAAGCAAAAGTAAGGTTAAACCAAAAAAAAAAGTGTCAATATCACAACTTTACCCCCAACCATAACCCCCACACTTTCTCTCTGCATAAATGCCGTCAATCTTAGAGGCCCAGGCACGCTCTCCCCGACTGGTAGCGACGCCAGACTATAAGCGAACCCAGGAGGGCTAGGGCACCTGGGCTGGGGCCGCGGCCTGTATCCCTCCCTAAATGCTGGAGACGGGGGGACGGAGGGACAGGCAGCAAGCGCCCGCCCCCCCGTCGCCGGACTGGGAGGGCTGCCTGAGGCTGCAGCCTCTCCAGTTCTAGTAAGAGAAGAGGCCAGTGAGTCAGATCCCATTTCACGGAAATGTTTTCGGAAAGCCATCCTCAGCAGTGCACTGCTAAGCCTCCGTGCTGGTGCAAACAGTCCATCTAAAACTCGCAAGGGCCGTCTGGATTTTCAGAAAACAAAACATATTTGACCTTTTTAGGACTCACGCTATTTTTCGTGTGTGTGTGTTCTAGGTTACACTTCAACCTCTTTAACGGATCTCCTCCCACTATGCCAGGTGCCTGCTAATGCCGCCGGCTGCCCGTTCCACACCGGCGACCGGGCTAAATATATTCTAAACTGGATGGCAATGAACACACTGAGCATTTCAAAAAAGGGAAAGTAAGACGATTTCTATGCGAGCATTGCCACTTCGCCTCTGAAGCCCACCCAAAGGAACAGGAATAAAAGCCTCAGGGTCAGGATTCTTCACAGACATTTTCTAAACAAGAAATGCTTTTATTTAAAAAATGCTGTTTAGGTCAAATGGAACGTGACACTTTATTCACAGTAATAAAATCAAAACCCTCCATGTGTAAAAAATATAGCAAATAATAGACAGAAAATACCCATACATAAGAGAGAACTTTGTTATATGAATGCATGCAAATAGGGTTTGTGGGTAAACTCTAAGATTCTACCGGATAAGCAGGCAAATGTGTTGCTGCATGCAATGCTTAATGCTTTCAAAGCAACCTGGCAATTTGTGCTGAGACCCTTAAACACGTGCATCTTTCGCCCCACTTTGATCCTACTTCTGCTAACCTCCTAGGGGATTACTCTAACCATGGACCATGTCAGGTTTCAACGGTGAAAAATGAGAAACAATCAAAATGCTCATTGAGAATAATTATGCAAACTACGGAATGCCCCCTTGTAGAATACTCAATAGTCAGGGAATAACAATGATTATAAATTATAACTATAAATTACAACACTATAGATGGTTTTTAAGACAACTGTGAAGATATAAGTTCACCATAAGAATATATATGTGTGTATATGTGTATGTGTGTATATGTGTGTGTGTATATACCATACCAGAAAAAAGTATACACACACAAACACAAGCAGAGTATGATTACTTCTTGGATAAAAACCCACAAACACACGCACAACACAAAGACTAAAAATAACTAAATCGAAATATTGATAGTGGTAATTTGGGAACAGGGAGAGATTACAGGACTATGACTATTGTTTTAAAGTGTATTTGATAATATTGTGAAGTTTATACTTTCATAATTTGCATAATGTTCAGTATTTAGGAAGTAAAAATAAAACGTGAACGATCGAAGGAGGTAAACGTCCACCCAAAAGCTCACGCAAACGCGGCGCGACTGTGTTCTGGGTTGTTTTCAAGACAGTGTCTCTTCGCTCGGTTCAGAAAAAGCTCGAGGCTCTCTCAGCGCAACACATGCCCTCTCGTTTCTCTTCCAAGCCTCACCCTGGAGGAGGTGCTCGCGTGGGCCCAGTCCTTTGAAGAGCTGATGGCCACGAAACGTGAGTACACTGCGCGTGTCACCTGTGACTCGCTCCTCAGTCTCCCACTTTGGGGGAGGGGGCCCTGGATGGTGGCGGGGGGACCCTGGATGGTGGCGGGGCACTCTCCTCTCACAGCCGCCGAAGTGGCAACTGCCACAGTTAAAAAAGGAAAACCTGAAAATAGTTTGTCGTGTCAGCCGCCATGATTGCCTCTGGTGTTAATTCGAACAAGATTAGTCACTGTGACTATTTATTCTTCACAAGTCTACGTGTAAAAGCCCTTGGAAAATATGCTTAAATAGTAACAGAATATACTGCCTTACCGTAACCAGCTAAAGTTAGATTACTTTGTAAATTAACAATTTGCTTTTCTTTAAAAATATTTATTTATTTTTAGACAGAGGGGAAAAGAGCGAGAAACATCAGTGTGTGGTTGCCTCCCACACAGCCCCTACTGGGGACCTGGCCTGCAGCCCAGGCCTGTGCCCTGACTGGGAAGCCAGCAGGCGACCCTCTGGTTGACAGGCCGGCACTCGGTCCCCTGAGCCACACCAGCCAGGGCAGCACCTTGCTTTTCTCAGTGCCTTCGAAAGTAAGAACAAGCTGGAGTCTTGATGTTCTAAAACTCCTCAGAGTTCGTTTCCGACTTGATCAGTGTCTCCTCCAAGTGCGCCTTAGCTGTCCACAAGCATCAGCACTCGGGCGATCTAAGTGCAAGGTGACAGCAGTGGCCATGAGGGCGACGGCGTCACAGGCTTCACGGGCCTCATTGTGCGCCTCCGTGCGGGCGGGCAGTCGTGTTGGGGGCGGGAAACGGGAGGCAGTACGAGGAGATCCACACCCAGCGACAGGTGCAGAAAAAACAGTGCAGTGGGTACTCAAAGGAAATTCTCATTTGCTGGATGTGGCACTTCTCTCCCCAATGGGCACTTCTCTGTGCCCCCCTCGAGTGTTGCTAGTTTCTGCCTGCAGGCCGCTTCTAGCTGAGACCCCCCACCCCACCCCCGGCCGGCTCTCTGTGCGCGTTTCCTGCGTTGGCCTCCGTGGAGGGCGGGAGGGGTTCGCCGTGCTGCTTGGCAGCTTGATTCCTGGGATGTCTGGGTGGGCATTCAGGACAAGGTCCTTCCTGGTCCCCGGGGGTTGCTGTGTACCTGGGACATCACCTGCTCTCCGTGCCCCCTCCTGGTGTGGGCACCGCTCTCACTGCCGGGCCCCGAGGGCAGTGGCTGCAGGCGTGGCTGCTCCTCCTGACACACCTCGGTCCCCCCCACCCTCGGTCACCCACCCTAACCGGCGGTGGCCCCACGGCCCCTCCGGGTGCTGGTGCACAGACCCCCGAGCGCAGCTCACTGCCTGTGCGCCCACCTTCTGTGTGCGCCTTTCTGCTGGCGTTGGAGACCGTGGCTTCTTTCTTTGGCCCCCTCGGCCCTGACTTCCGGCCAGTTTGTGGTCCAGCTTGCCTGCACGACTGTGAATTTTTTTAAATGTATCTTGGGAGCAATTTTAGGACAGTGGAATGAGAGGAAGAGACAGAAGTATGTGCTCAGTCAGCTGCGCCGATGGGTCCTCTGCTGGTAACTGGGGTTCCAGTCCCAAACCCCGTAATCCTTGTCGTGAAATGCTGCCGCGTCTGTCTCCCTCCTGGAGTTGCACATCTCCACCTGGGAAACGGGAGTGACGTCACCTCCCTTCTCAGCATCATTGTGCAGGTCAGACTTAAAACCCCTAGCTCTGAGCCTGACGTAGCTCTATGCACACAAATATGATTCATTATTTTTATTAGGAATCAAGTCCCTATCTCTAGCATTCCTTTTCCTCTGCTGCCCACCAAAAAGTCCAAACTCTCCAACCTGACATCCAGGACTTTGAATATCCACGAGCTTTGGGGTGAGGCCGACATCGGTCCCCCCGTATCTCCCTGTGTGGCCCTGCAGTCACGGGTTGTTTGTACCTCGTTGTAATGACCAGCTGTCATAATCTGTCGGGTTTTGTCCACCACGAGAACCGAGACTCCCGCAAATCAGTGCACTCCCTAAAGCTGAGCTCCAGCCCTGCCCTCCTGCGCGATGCTCACACTGAGGCCCAGGTGAGCACGGCTCCCCGCTCCGCACCCCGAACTCTCCCGCGCCAGCTTCTGTGCGAAGTCCTCTCTGCGTCTCCTCCATCTCCTCTGCCCGTCCTGGAAGGTGAAATTCAGCGTCCGCCTTTTCCCCAAAACCTCTCGGAAACATTTTTCCTCCCCCTTCTCCTTTGTTGGCCTCCTTATTTATTCTGCTTCTCATGACAGCTCTTTCACGTATTGGGTGTTTTCCACAGCTGCTTTCTCACTCTGTCGTGAATTTCCTAACAGCGCAATTGCTCTCGGTCCCCTATCATCCTTCCCTCTCGAGACTGACAATGTGCTTTGTCCGTAATGGCACTCCATAAATGTCCAATGAATAACTGCGAGGCAAATGTTAGTAAGAAAAGATCAAAGCATCAAGGCAGATTATGTCGGAGTTGCTGTGCCAGTTTTGGAGGTCTCGTAAACAACGTGAACAAAGTCAATTACTTGGTAATGATCTCAAGGGGGAGCCTAGCTAGAATTTGCAACTTAGAGACCTAGTGTCATACGAATAAGCAAAGTCCACAAGAAAGATGAGAACAGGAAGGCATGCTGATCTTTATGAAATCCAGCAAAAACAGGGTAAGCCCCTTACCAGAAACTGAGTTACAGTGACATCGATGTGGAAATTCAATAATCGCATAATAAAAGGGTGATGATAACAATTCATTCTGTGGACCATCCAATCAGAAAGAGAAAACTAAGAATACAAACTTTAAATGCGCCCGAGAATAAAATGTGTTTACGTTAACCAAACACACCAGCCTAATGCATCTTCTAAGTAAGCCATGTAGATGCCTGTTTCCACACAGACTAAAAGACTGTTTCTAAACACATGTGGTTCGGAAACCCACGTGGGAACGAAACCTATTAGACTTGGTCCCCACAGATGAACAGGAATTGGTTTGGAAACCATTAACACAATCATCACAACCCAGCTCAACTCGACTTCCTCCTGGGAAAAAGGGGTCCAAGAAAATCATCAGTTCAAGGACAGAACCGCAGCAAAATCAAGACATACGTCAGTTAGAGATTAACTATGCCAGCAGCCTAGATGCACTCTAGATGTTATTTAATGATGCGTTATTGACAAATTATTTTTTAAGAACAGCATGTGCCTTTACTCAGCAGATATTCAACAATTATTAAGCATGTCTGAGGGGCCAGGCAACGCGGCTGAAACAAAGAAATCCCATGGGCTCCTGTGCACATAAAATAACAGAAAAAAAAATGGATCTTCAAAACTGGAAATCTAGGAGAGATTTGGTACATTTGGGCAAAGAAGAAATGGTGATTGAAGCAACATCTAGTAACGCAAAATAAGGGAAAAACAAGGCAAAGATACACTTTTTAAAAATAATAGCCTTGGACGAAAAATTTCACCGAAGTCTGTGTAACTGACTCACAGGCAGTACTTTTTGTTCTTTTTTTTTAATACATACATTGTTTGCTTCCAGAAGAAAGACAGTTTCATAAAGAGATACCTTTCCCTTGAAGAGTCTATTGTTACATTGGACAAGCGGAAGGAAGCTCTCGACATAGAAAGAAAAACACATACACACCCTTTTGTGACATAAAATTACTTGTGAGATCCCGTTAGGATGGCTCATACCAGATGAGGATTCAGAATTCGCCCAGAGTGTGGCTTGTGGCCACAGTAAACACATGCTTGTGAAGCGCCGGGTGTGAGAGGCCGAGCATCGGAGAGCCGCACAGCCCGTCCAAAGAACACAACGTGCCTTGAGCCTCAGCTGGTGCTCTGTGAAGCGTCCTCTCTGGGCAGCGAGGCGTCCGCTGAATTCTGACTGCACACGATGCCGGGAGACCGGTCCTATGGGCCGTGGAAGGGGGTGTGCCCCAAGGCCAGTGCAAAGGTTCTCCGGAAGGCACTCGTAATCAAGGACAGATCCAGGACACGTGCACCACCACGGGCAGTTCAAGAACGACTACGCACAAGGAGGACGGAAACAGCAGGGCTCACGGCACAGAGCGTGTGTGTGTGTGTGTGTGTGTGCACTCGCGTGCCAAGGGGCTCAGAGAGACGGGGAGACATGATAGCAGGCTTCCTGGGAGAGGAGGCTCACCAAAGGCCGTTTGTAAACCGGGGCCCACTGATCGCATCTCTGTAAGATGAGGAAGTCTGACTGGAGGTATTCAGAAGAGAGGAAGCTGCTGGAGGTGAAGCAAGCACAGCAAAGATAAACGAGTGCCGCTTTCAGTGAAGACACAGAGTGTACGGTTCCTTAGGATTTAGTGTTAAAAACTGATCTCATTAAAAAAAAAATCCCTACAATGAATTCAGCAGAAATTACCCATCAAAATTTTCAACTCTACAACGATAAGAAGTACTCCAAGTTTCCAAACATCAGTTTTCAGGAAAGAATTCAACTATTTTCAAATGGACATAAAAGTCATAGTAAATGTTTTTTAGTGAATCAGGAAAAAAAATTGTCTGAGCTATTAGTCATCTCTTTGTAAAAACACATGGGAATTCCTAACAATTTTTCCTGGAATGATGGTGACCCAAAACACAGCACAGTGCCCCAAAATGTCCTCCAAGTATCAGGCATCCACCAAGAAGAAAAATCGGGGGGAAGTCCTGTGGATATCCGAGATGGCTGAACCTATCAGAACTAGAAAAGATGATAGCCATGCATTTGAATTGACAAGGGGACCAACCGCCACCTAAAACCCAAGGGTTCTTCATACTGGGAAGATCAAGACTGAAAAACAATTGAAATCCAAATCTACAACATCAGAATAAAAATACAGAAGGTCCATACAGATCTCACAAGATGAGAAGAGAAGCTGTGCACTGATATCTGAGCAAAGTATGTTTGATATAAACAACGAGAAGGTCAGTAGCTCACGCCCTTGGATGACTCATTCAGCCCTGCCTGGGACACGGGGGGGG